CTCTCCGAAGTTCATATTCTTTCTAGGATACTTTACACAGGAGAACAAAGATTTGGTTTTAATAAGTTTAATATTAACTAATGTATTTCAACCTGTTAAATGAGCTAAGTTCACAATGTTTTAATCAAATGTTTGAGGTTATATTTCTAGAGTTTACAACCGATTGTCTACCAGTATCTTTTAACTATTAACTTTACTGTACCTCCAAAAAAAGCTTTTTTGCTCATTTTACCCTAGATTTTGCCACTGTGAAACTTTGGTATGTCTTACAGGACATTTTATTCTTTGTCTTGTGAAAAATTTGTGTAGCTCCAAGTGTAGGTTAATTAATGCTGCGTTCTTTCCATATTTATAGTTTTATCTATTCTTTTAGCTTCTGTATTGTTGAGAAATTTTATTTTATAGAGGCCACATTTAGCAAGATTATTGCATTTTTAATTTCATTTCTTATCAGCATATTGCTTTCCTGTATATTTTTTTTATCAAACTGGTTTCTATTAAATACTGTATGTCACCCCTAAGCTAGTGACTTCTATTTCCAAGGTCTTGTCTGGGGTGAATGCCAATAAAATCATAACAAAATTAAAACAAATTGTAGATTTTTTAGCAAGGCAGTATAATATGCTTCATTATATGACACCCTTAGCCTACCCTTGACCCAAACACACATGTCGTCTCTTTGCCAGTGCTGTGTCTCTCTTCTGTTTGAATCCCCTGACCCCCTAAATGGAGGTCAACTATTCTGTCCCGAAACAGTTGTCAACCCCACCAACATGAACTTTCTTATCAAGCACTATTTAGTGTTTTGATTATTTGGCATCTTGCGGGTTTTGCTCCTTAAAAAAAATGTCCTTGAATTTGCCAATATTTTTTTAACCTAGGAATCAACTTTAACATTTAATTACCAAATACAGAACCCAGCAAACACAAAACGTTGGCGAACGTTGCAGTTAGGTATGTAACAAAATAACGTTCACACAACGTTGTATAATTTTCAAACGTTGTGAAATTAGGTTATAAGTACGTATATAAGGTTCTACAAAATAACGTTTTTATCACCAAACTTTAACGTTATTTTAAAATACTTGTAATGTAATATTGTTAGCTGGGAATATTTACTGTCGTATTAAACCTCAATCCAGAAGCTGCCGCTGATACACCCACTTTGCAGCTAACTGTACAGTCTCTCAGTAAACCTTGCGTGTGGGGAAGGGGAAAAACAGACTTTTAAAGATGATGATGATGATGATAATGATGATGATGATGATGATGATGATGATGAAGATGTATTAAATAACGATCATGAAATTTGTCTACTTTTAGACATGTAAAGTACTATGCAATGGTGAATCTGGGGTTGAAGAATGTTGGGGTGAGGGGCCATCGTGGGAGGTAATGTATTGGAAACAGGTTGTTTGAAATTGGGTGTATTATATAATTATGTCAGTTGTGATTTGGTAAAGAAGAATAAGGTCAATTGTTGAAAGAAGAGTCATTCCTTAAATTCCACTACAAATAGGGGGTGGTAGGGATGTGCCAGGCCGATACTCTACAGTTCCTCCCCCCCCCCCGAACGCTTGCCTCAAATGCACTTTTTAGTAGGTCGTTGTGTTGTTGGCATGTACACTTTTATAGAGTAAAAACAAATACTTGGCAGAAAATCATGAAACAAGGATAAAAATTGAGTACGTTTATCATAATGCTTTTAATGTGAATGAAACAAAACGGAAGTGAGTCTACTATCATCTTGGGGATGATGAATATTTGTACATCCTTCAACATTTGGAGCCACTTGCCAAAGTTTTTTCTTTTATATGCCAACATTTTGTATGGTAGACCTGCTTTTGGAAATTATCTACCCAGGTTCTATGAACTTTATCTAGGTTTCTAGGTTGATAATATTAAAGTAAGAAAATTCAAGGCCACTTCCAAATTCAAAGAATTCATGAATACAGTAACCATTTTGAATATAGGCCTACTGTACATATTAAATTAAAATTTTATGATTGTAATTAATTAAAAATATATGTATTTTAATTTGTTTACATCAGAAACATGAACATTTCAAGAACCGGTTTTCTTAAAATGTCTAGGTTTCTGATATAAACAAATTATGTATTTTGCTTACATCAGAATCCTATACACAGTAAGCATTCATAATAGGCACTACTTGAATACCAAAATATATCTAGACGTAGAGTATTGAAAACCTGTTCTTTTTTCAATATTCTAAGTTTAGAAATATTAATTGGCATTATAATAGTGGCTACAAAATAGTTTTCTCTAAAGCGTGGTACACACTGGGTCGTATGATGGTTGTTGATCGATGAATCCATCTGTGTTTTCTTTGAGCACTCAACGCAGCAGACTGAGTGAATTGTCATTAAAAATGATGCGACGCACATGCCATTTCTGGTTGCATATGATGATCTGAATCCGTGGCCAAAAAATTGACTGTAATTTATCCATTTTCTCCACATTATGAGCATTAAAGTTGCCAGGGGGATGAGTAAAAGTATAAGTGTACTACAGTACTGTCACATTTTTATGCTAACTCAGTTTAATATTGTGACAGTATGCAAGTCCATTTATGCTCACTTATGAAGAATTTAGCAGATTTCGAATTTCCTCAAAATGTTTCATTAGCAAGAAGTTGCTGTGGGCTATCACTTTGCTACAGCAGTTTATTCTTCTTCTACAGCAAAAATCAACAGTTTTTATTGTTTTTAAGGATAAAATCCGTTGCAGGCCTAGCCTTGGTTAAGCAACTCGACAGCTAAAAGCTTGCTGTCGATCGTAGGATTTACCACATCAGTGGAAGGCCCTTTCTACAGCAATTGCTGTCGGTTCCTGTCGGGAAACTCAAACCCTGATTTAGTAAAGGCCAACTCAGACAGCGTCGGCCGACGCAGCCCGACGCGATTTGTTGTCGCGTCGGGTCTAAAGCTTGCTGTCGATCCTAGGATTTACCACATCAGTGGAAGGCCCTTTCTACAGCAATTGCTGTCGGTTCCTGTCGGGAAACTCAAACCCTGATTTAGTAATAACCTGCATGGATAAGAACACGATGATATGGATTAGAGTACTAAGGAGAGTACAAAATTAATTTGTTTTGGTATTAAATGAAGTGATTTATTAATATTGTCCATTGTATCATTTTGGTACTGGTATTTGCAATTTATTTATTGTCATAATCATAGCATATATGATCAATCCAGCTTCAAGTATTATGACAATAGGTGAAAGAAATAGTTGTAATGTGGAAGTAAATTAACTTGTAATCCTCCTGCCTTGAAGTACCACTTTTATTTTTTAAAGTGTTTATCCCATAGTATGTTGTTCATATTACAGGGGTCCTAAGTTGAAAGAAGCCATTTTCAGGAAGTCTGGTTAAATAAACTTTCTTAAAGCTAAGCTTATGACCCCCTTGTGACCTGAGTCACACGATTTGAGGCAAAATAAGCGCTCCAATCGCCAGTTACTCTCTGTTACTTTCAGTGGTCTTAGCATTATGGTCCATGTGCACATTAGAAATGCAGTGCACTCTTAGGAAAAGAGTTGGAGATTGTCTCCTGTTGTCTGCCCAATCACCACCAGAAGGACCCCACTGGAAATGTCTTCTTCAGACTTTTGTTGGGTTATCCTTGGTGTTTACACCAAATAAATCCATCTATCCATCCATCCTGATATTTGGGAGACTTCTGTGACTTGCAGAAGACCTAGGACTCCTGATATTGTAATTTGTAAATTTTTTGTACTCGGTGTGCAATGAAAAGTGGAAATACCATGATTCTAAGACGTATTGAATTCATCATAATCATGACACATTCGCAATTCCATGCAATTCAATTTATGTTAAAAAAAAATCCATAAAATTAATAATGCATAGAAATTATTAAAAACAAGGAATTGGCCATTTCTCTAAGCCCCACCCACCCTTAGATAGTGTTGCAAAGGTCCCATGATGTATGTTTGTGGGACAAGTTGTTAAAGTTTGATTGACATTTTGGAAAATCAAATCGTTTAGGAGTTATCAGTCTTTAGAATGGATTTATAATTTAAATGCAGGAAATAGACAACAATAATAATTTTATCTCACAGACCCTATAGAATAATATCTCTCTGCTGAAAAGTCGCTTACACTGAACAATGAAAGCCAAAATATGGATAAAATGCTTGAGTAGCTTTCGATTATGTTTTCAAACCTGTAAATTTGGACAATTTCGTTGCTAAGACTGTAGCACTGAACTATATACATTGGACTGTTGGTTTTAGGTTTATAGATTTATGAATGTGTGATGAAACTGTCAGTGAAGGTATTAGGGACTTGTATACATGGATTGTTACGTTTCACCACAAGTGCAAATTATAGCCAATAATCTTAATCTCCTAGTCTTCAATTTTGTTTAAAAAACATGCAAGATTCAGGGATTCACTTAACACATTGCATCTCACAAATTGCTTCCATTCATGACATAGTTTGTTTGTATTGCAGGTCGCATTTATCGTCTAAAATCTTATCTCATTTATCGTCTAAAATCTTATCGACAATGCCTGATTTATATCGACAGCTTAGGAAGTAGATTTCTCACCCTAAAGCTCTTCCAAACATTATAACTACTTTTATGCAGGATTTGTGGTTTTCTTTCTCGATCAGAAAGGTTAATTTCTTCAAAAGAACTGTGACCGCTTGCTTAATGGTCTATTTTTAAAAGGTACCTACTAAACAACGCTGTTATTGTTGAGTCCTATTGTTGCAACTGAAAGGAATTGGAGTACAGTTGTTCATTGTACTGTAATTCGTGAGTGCCAAATCATTCATAATGTGACAAGGAGAGAAGGTCATATAAAGATATGATCTTGATGATGTGATAATAGCCTAAAAGATTAAAGTTTTGTTGCATTTGAGTTCAGTATCATTTGTATTGTTGAAAAGATACATAAGGCCTAATAAAATTTGCAACAATCCTATTCAGTAATGGTACTGTGATTTTCTTCAGTTTATTGCGATTGGTCCAACAACAAAAGAAGCCATGGAGAAAAGCGGCTACACTGTGACAGCTACGGCAGAGAGTCCAAGCCCAGGATCACTACTCAAGATATTAATATGATGGTTACCAATCTAACTGTTAGTTCACAAGGATTCTTGGTTTCTCATGAAAGTGCGGAATATTGTGCTTACCCTACATGTGTTTGTAGGGAGTCCATATTTCGATAATAGACCTACCTCAAAATTATGTATCTAAACTTATATAATATACTAGCTATTAAGCTAATAGAAGATTGCACTATATAACTATAGAATTTATATTGATTGTAAAGCCCAATGAACAAAATTATTAGTTTATAATCCTACCAAGACTGCAATGATGTGATTTTTAATTTTGCTAAACCAAATACAGGTCTTCCTCCAATTAAAAACTGCTTTCGGGACAAGGATTTTCCCTTTTCTTTAGCAGCTTAGCAGCTTTGGTCTCTCATTAGAATAATAAAGGTAAAAGAAATTTGTTAATTGGGACCACAGAATAGTGGTCTTTAATTGGAGGGGTCTTAAATTGGCAGGAGACATGTACAAACCTGGGATGTTTGCTTGTGCATTGACATTCAAAGTTACATATCTACCAACTATTTACTAAAAAATGAAAAAAAATTTTTAAAACAATCCCCCTCCCCCCCCCCAAAAAAGAAGAAGAGATAATTCCATGTTTTTTAATACCATAGAAGAGATGCATGCTAGGATGATAAACTAATCATTTTTTGTTTTTTTTTTAATTTGGCCTGACTTCGCATCTTTTAAATCGTGCGATTTTATTATTCTGTGTAAGAATTTTAAACAGTAATGTTTGTAAATAGTAGCAAATAAAAAAAATGAACTTATATCTGGACAGTTGAACTTTCCTAAGTCGAATCCAAAATGCCATTAAAATATTGTTCGACTTACATGAAATTCGACTTAAAGATTGTTAATTAATGGAAAACACAACAATTTGGCATGTAAAATAAGATCAACTTAGACATTATTCAACGATAGGCACAGTCGACTTAGGCAAGTTTAACTGTATTACCTATATTAAAATGACCAGGATTTTAATTGATATCACTGCTTAACAAGGAGGAAACTTTTTCATAGAAATACACAATAATATTAACAGCAATATGGTGGGTCCTCAGTTATAACATTAATTATCCTTTTTTCATTTATAATATTCAATGTACTCAAATATAAGTAGAAAAGTTATTAGTATAGGTCAGATTTTTTTAAAAATATAGCCTATGCCTAATTCTAGTGTGCATTGCCAACCATCACTTAACACGTTGACTGCCAGACCTTTTTTTACGGTTCCTTCCCGTGTGCCATAACAAGTTTACATGTACAAACATACTTTTTTGAAATTTTATCTAGTCATATATCATCAAAATGATGTGTTGAATAAATTGGCGGGAAAATATTAGGGGGCGAGTATACTCGTCGATGGCACTTTGATAGAACTTTTTACTGACTATGCCAAGTGCAAGTTATCTCGTCCTCTTTTTGCATGGGTTGGTATATGTTCAAAGGGCGCCCCCACTTGTACCGCTCGGGTGTACTACCGGCAACATAACACAACAAACAATACATATGTCATTTGTACGTTGTCGTCTAGGTGTATCTTCCCGGAACTACCAGCCGTTGAGTCTGTGGTCCTACATTGTATAATAAAGAAGTTATAAACGCTAGAATGTTCCCCCGTTTTTTACGAGTATACTCGTTCCTGGCGCCCTCAGCAACACTATGTGGGCGAGTATACTCGTCGCTGGCAGCCGACGTGTTAACCCATACATTTTGGATGGTAAAATAGTACCCACATGGATAAAAATCCATGGTTAAAGTGTCTATTATATTAACTATATTCTATAATGGGCCTTTATCAAACTACACACAAGTACTTCCAGGCCCTCCTTGGTAAATTGGTAAATACATTTTTTCCAAAATAAAATCACCCTAGATTTCTAACATTTGGGTTGGTAGGGCTTGGATAGTACGAAGTCCTCATACTGTTATACCCACTCACTTGTCAGAAATTGCTTTAACTGTATTTGAAGGCAATCAAAGGATATTTTGTTTTATTCATTTTTTATATTGTAATTTAACTTTATTTAAATTTACTGTTTGTGTGTTTTTACTAAATTTTGAGACAAATAAAAGATATGAAAATGAGAAAGCGGCCTGCTTTATTTATGTCATGAAGTAGAATTAAAGAAACAGTAGGACTCCTGTTACTATTATCATTTGCATAGACTCTTAAATTTGCCTATAAAGATTTTTTGAAGTAACTGGTTTGTAAATCAACAAGAATGATGTGTCTCACTAAAAGTTGATAAGATATTTAATTTTTAAAACAAGCAATTCAATGTTGTAATTGAATTTATGGAAATGTGTGTATATTTTGTCAATTTACAACTGTCTACAACAGTGTTAATAGAACTTTGCTCTAAAGGCTAAAGGCAAAACCACTTGCTTCTCTCAGCAGTGGCATATCTGTAAGTAATTGACATAAGGGAAAAACACGATAAGAAAGTTAGAAGTGGGGGAATGAGGTGATTATGACATGATTTTGTATTTTTTTTTACTGAGAAATTTTTCAGTGATGGAGGGTGGAAATGTTTTTGGGAGCATGCACCTGAATTCCTCCTTAGATAAGCTACGGCACTGTCATTCACACCCTACCCGTCAATAGGCGCGTTATCATTCATAGACGTCTGCCAAGTTGTAGCGGAACTCATCGTAGCTCCATTATTCTGGAAGCGAAGCGTTGCCAAGCTGAACTCCTGCCAAGTTTTAATGCGCCTTTTCTTCTGACAGATGTGTCTTTTTCTAATATTTTTTATTTTAAACTTGACCCATGTCCTTGTAACCAGAGTTGTACCTGAAAATATTTCTGTAATTTAAACCACATTTTTTTTTTTGAAAATTTGAGAATGAGTAGTCTAATTTTTTTATGGGATGTGCATTTACAACGTTGCAAAGCCCTGGCCAGAATGTGACATGCCTAAATATGGTCATGATGACATCACATCATGACCATATATAGGCATATGATGACCATATATGGGCATTCAACAGTTTTTTTTCCAAAAAAAATTTCATAATCTGGACAGAGATTAAGGTTTGTTTTTAATGCTAAATTGAGCATAAACAAATTGTTTGAAGCATGCTCTCAGCAGAATTTCTAATCCTTTGCAGTACCAGCTGATTTGTGGTGAATATTTAGATTTGTGTATTGGATCATAAAACTATCATAAATAAGCTGAAGCTGTAGTACCAGACAGTTAAATCCTTGGTCACTGAGCCACTTTTGATCTTCTAATTGAGTTACTTTTAAATGGAAAATTGGTTTGTTGGTTGGTTAGTAGAATGTGAGTGATTGATTGATTGATTGGCTGAACAATTGATGCTTGATATAGTTATATCTTGATTATTTATTGTTGGGTTGATTATTGCCTGATTGATATTTTTTGGGTAATTAAAATAGAGTTTGACTACAGTAATTGATTATTGCAAGTTCATTTTATTAATAGGCTGCTTGTTGATTATTGACTGATTATTGCATGATTAATTATAAATTGGTGTTGGTTTGTTGGTTGGGTTGTTGTTGGTTGGTTGATTACTTGACTGGTTAGTAGATAGACTGTTTTATTGTTTGATTGATTATTGCTTGGTGATTGTTGTTTATTGATTGATTGATTGTTTATTATTTTATTGCTGCTTGAGGGATTGATGTATACTGTTTGACTGATTGATTACAGCTTCAACAATTGATTATTGCTAGATTGTTTGATTTCTGCTTATTGCTTGATTGGTTATGTTTTTATGACTATTGTTTAATTGATTGCTGCTTGATTGATTATTGTTTAATTGGTCATTGATTGCTTAATTGCTATTTAATTAATTGATGTAAGTTGATTACTTGATTATTGTTTAATCAGTTATTTCTTGATTGCTGATTGTTTAATTGATTATTGCAGGATTGCTTCTTGATTTTATTTATTTATTTTAACAATATTGGTTGGGTAAATTGATTGATTGATAGGCGGATAGGCGGAAACTTTCCACGCTCACAGCACGTGGCACTAATCACCCCAACACCATAAATCCCAGTCCCGAGGTGGAACTTCTGGAAAGCTAACTGGGATAAGCTCAAGATACTACCAAACACCTCAGAAGGCAACATAAACAATATATATGATCAATTCTGCAAGGCAATCCTAAAAGTAGCTACGAATACGATACCCTGCGGCTACCACAAGAATTACGTCCCAGGTTGGGACAACTCTTGTAACGACCTTGCCAACAAACTTCAGAATGATGTACCACCAGAAGAAAACCAAGTTGCAGCATCAAACCTTCTACAACACCTGGACCAGCACCATCAAGACAAATGGAGAGAAACTGTTGAGGACATCAACATGAAACACTCCAGCAGGAAGGCCTGGGCAACTACATAAACAAGCTGACAGGAGCTAAAAAGCCAACAACACCACCATCATCAACTATTCCAGAATGATGTAATTCACCAGAAGAAAAGCAAGTTGCAGCATCAAACCTTCTACAACACCTGGACCACCGTAAAGACAAATAGAGGGAAACTGTTGTGGACATCAACATGAAACACTCCAGCAGGAAGGCCTGGGCAACAATAAACAAGCTGACAAGTCAACAACACCACCACCATCAACTATTCCAGATGTAATGACATTGCCAGATGCCTCATGAACAACAGAAAGTTTCTCAAGAGAAGTCAACAAGGAACTGAAAAGGACATGTCACTCACCATCTGCAGAAATTTCACTCCATATGAAGTTACCTGGGCTTTAAAAATGTTGAAAGCTTCAACCTTTACGCTGCTGACCTTCCAACAATACGCTGATGACATAGCCCTCACATCCTCCAGCCAGACTTTCAAAGAGCTTGAAGACACTGTCAAACGACCTTGAAATGATGAGTGTCTACTTCCACCAATGGCGTCTGAAGCTCAACACCAACAAGACAGTTAGCAGTACTTTACACCTTCATAACATATCAGCAAGATACAAGCTCCGTGTAAAACTTAATGGCCAGTGTATTCCATTTAATAACCAAACCAAAACACCTTGTCATCACCATTAACCTACCATGAACATCTTCAACAAACGGCATACAAATGGTGCAATCAGATCAACACCAACTGCACTGTTGCCAACATTATCAGGCATCACACCACTGGATATTCGAAGATCAGAGCAGTGTCTGAAACTACTTCAACGCTCAACCAAAACGTCAAATCATCTATTGCACCACCCCACAATTAGCAGCGAAGGATGTCCTACCAGAAGATTGAAATCTTGCTAACCACTCTCCCACGAGCTCAGACAAGAGGTCGGTGAGACTTCTGCAGAGACCTAGCCTTCTAGATATGTGGACCAGTCGCTGGCAACA